CGAAAAACAAAATAGCAGAGATTGATAAGAATTGCGAGAAACAAAGTAGCAGGGATTGATAAGAAGTGTGAGAAATAAATTGGCAGAGATTGATAAGAATTACGAGAAAAACGGCAGAAATGAATCGAAATAAATCTACTTTTTTTTTTCTTTCTATTTATCGGTAATAATTCCAGCAAACAATTCCAACGTTATGCTATTATTTGAAACGAAATTAAAAGAAGTTTTTCAAAATATATATCATATTCTGGAATGATAAAAAATGGTAAAAGAGAAATGAGGCATAAATGTGTCCTATCTTAAATTACTTCATTAACATTTAATTACTTTTGACTAATCTATTTCATCATAAAAATGAAATACAACTGGAAAATGTTTAATAAACTCCTAATTATTTACAATCATACCCTCAAATAGCCTATAATTATAATGGATGATAAGGTATCCAATTTATTTCATACTCTTTTCCCCACGTTTACATATAGCGTAATAAACGTTTATACGTTTAACGTTCACGTGATTGGATGATTACGTTGACTTGACATATTTATGCTATTAAAATCAAATTTTAATTTTTTATATTTTAATAAAATTAAGCGAAAGAATTAAAAATGAAATTTTCTTTTGGTATTTGTTCACGCGTTACCAATAAAAAAGAGAGAGAGAGAGAGGGAGAGATAGATAGAGAAAGAGAGAGGGAGAGAGAGAGAGAGAAAGGAGGGAAGAGAGAGAAGAGATCTATCTGCTCGGGTACCTCTTGGAGGGAATGGTTGTTGTTGTTGTCGTTTGTCTTTAATTCATCTGTTACACTTTTATCGATCATGTGAAAAACTCGTACGTGAGTCACGTGATGCTGCACACATCTCTGGTTATGTAATATTTCATATGTGTCCAATTATTCACCTATCTTCCACTCACATATGGTTACGTGTTATACCTCGCATACATCTATGATTGTATCATTTTTTTTTTTTTTATTCGTACAGTTACTTTATATTTCACGTTACATTTTACGTTACATTTCACGCAATCGTTATACGCATGATTATGTATACAATTAAATCTTTATATTTGTGTTATATTTCTACGTACACATTACACGTGTACAGTATTATTTCATACTTTTGTAATCACGTGATATTTTGTTCCATTTTTGCAAATGTACTTGTGAAATGAAGATGCAAAATTTTGTTACTAATTATATTTTATTAATAATTAATTATTGTTTGCTGGCCGATTAGTTCCCGATGTGTTATCGAATTTTGGAAAATTATTGCCATATAATTAATTCAATTATAATTGTTCCAGTTAATTTGGAGCACAATTCATTAAGTAATTTATCCTATTTAACTGAAGTATACAAAAGATAAGCACAGGAAAAGCTTTTAAGATTAAACTTTTCAACGTTTTTATTACCTATTTTATATATATTAATTGTTTTAGATGAAAGATTTCATCTAAAGTTTGTTATGAAATTTCGTTTATTTTGCATATTCAATTCCTTATTTTTCGGCTTTTTTTTTTTGCTAAATTTTATAATTTCAGATAAAATAACCAGTACAAAACTCATTGTTGCATTTCATTTTTTGGCAGAATGAATTCTTTGTCATCATCAGGAAAAGCAACAATTCAAACTGTAACGACAATGGTAAAAAAGACGAATAAATTTATAAATAATCTGGATAGTGTCGTGGATGATAGTATTCGTGGGTTAATTCTTTCCCATGATAATTTGGCAACTTTAGATGTAAAGTTTATGTATTCTTTTTTTTTTTGCTTAAATTTTGATCAATTAAAGACATAAATGTGTTAGTAATAACGAATTGATGAGAAGATTGAAATGTTAAGTTTAATTTCCATTTTCACTATGTTTTAATAAACGTTAATTAAGCAATTTTAGTTAGCACTAAGTAATTTTATATATGTTTATTAAACATCATATCTTAAAAAAGCTGAACGCAGAAGCTATTGATAAATTAACACGAGTAGGTTGTTTTAAGATTGAATTCTTTGTTCATATATAGCTATATTTTACGAATGGTCTTTATTTTTTGTACAGATTTATATTTAAATGTTTAGATTACTGTTAAAGCATTTTTTTTTTTCGATTTTAGTGTTGTCATCGTGTTATCCTTCGGGCTGATATTGATAAGCTGAAAGGAGGAAAACAAGTTACGCTACTTGCTGGTGGAGGTTCTGGGCATGAACCATTTGCGGCAGGTAATGCTCTAGAAAATTTAAATTCAGGAAGAAATTGAGATTTCTGACATAGTTTCAGTTGTAATATAACACATATTTGGCTTGAAAAAAGAACTGTACTCTTTGAATTTTCTATAGGAACTTCAAATGCATTGAAAAAAAAGGGAAAGATCAAGTTATAGTTCAAACTTTTATTTTTTAGGTTTCGTTGGAAAAGGCATACTGTCGGCTGCGGTTTGTGGAAATATTTTTGCATCGCCACCCACATCGCATATAATGGCTGGCTTAAACGCTATTCGCAATAGTTGTAAGTGAATAATTCGTAAAAATCTGTAATTTATTAATTGGGATTCAGGCAAACTATTCATGAGCAGTTAGTCTTCTCTTTGCTTATCCTAGTGAATTTTAATTTTATATTATATAAAACTTACTTTATTTTATTTTTCAGCTGGAACAGGAGTATTTGTTATCAATTATACGGGAGATCGACTTAATTTTGGTCTAGCTGTGGAACGATTCAATGCAAGTCGGGAAAAAGAGGTTCGTAGACGTGTAATAGTAATACTTTGTTATACATAGTAGAATCCTCTGTAGTGTCAACTACAATTAACTACGATAAATATAATTTAGGATGCTAAGCTTCATTTAAAATTATTTGCGCTGTGAACATACTTCTGTGGGATAATTACCGAATTTTCTCAGATTACTAAAGTTTCACGCAATTTGTGCTCGTCAAAATTTCCTTGACATACAAATGTTCAGGATGGTGAAGCGGAGATGGTGATGATTAGTGATGACGTAGCCCTGGAAGGTAATCTTGCTGGACGAAATGTTGGACGTCGTGGTTTGGCAGGTGCTGTATTGTTATTAAAAGTAAGTTTTCCGCGTCAGTTCCTGCACATAAATTCCTCAGTTGACGTAGGAATTTTACTCGTAATCGATTTTTGGCCTTTAGATTGCTGGTGCAATGGCTGAAGAAGGCAAAGATTTGAAAACGATAACGGCAACATCTAGAACTATAAATGATAATTTAGGTAAGTTGCAAAGAATCACAACTGAATAGAAGGAAAGTGTAATATTTCGATCGGGATTTCTGTTTGATACTGAGGAAATTGGAATCTTGCAAGATAAAAGTTGACCTAATATGATTTTGCACTTTTGAGTTCACCAACTTCAACATCTAATCGTGTGATTTAGGACTTCATAGTGTGAATAGTTTTAATGGCTCTCATTTCCAGGTACTATTGGCGTAAGTCTTTCTGCATGTAGTTTACCTGGGAAAGGCCCAATGTTTGAACTGGAAGCTGATAGGATGGAATTTGGTCTTGGTATTCATGGTGAACCTGGTTTTGAAAGGAGTCAATACAGGACGGCAAATGAAGTGGCAAAATTGCTACTGGAAAAACTTGAAAGCAGTCAGAAATTGAATCTTCAAAAAGGTACTGTGTTAGATGAATTTAAATTTTAAAAACACTCAATTTGCATTCCAATTCAGGCAGGGTTAGAAGCTTGCTACTGAAAAATGTGTGGTACTCCTAAAATGTAGTTTATCCAACATCTGAAATTTCACGTTTCTGAATGGTTTGATGGGAATCCTAGATTAAACTGTTGAATTTCACACTCAAAACCATTCAGAAAAATGAAATTTCAGATGTTGGATAAAATAATCGTTGGTAAACTGTTGAATTTAATCTATGATTAATGCTGTTTCAATGAATGCATCGATAAATTTCTACGTTTTTAGGCGAAAAACTGGTTGTTTTGTTAAACAATCTTGGTGGAACATCACAGATTGAACTCAACATTCTATCTGGAGAAATCTATTCATGGTTATGTGAGTTCTCCCCTTATTAATTTTATCATTTTTCCCTGAATATATCAAATTAGTAGATAATTCGACTTAATTATTGAGATCCGATCAAACGAAACGTGAATTATGACTTTATGGTTAGAAGTTCATTTTCGTGAGACGAAAAATAAGCATAAGGTAAAAATGTTTGGCAAAAATTTCATACGAAGCTAGTACATTTAACCTAAATTATTTGAAGTCATGATATGGTCTATTAAGGTGAAAAAGGTTATTGTGTTCAACGTTTCTATGTGGAAAGCGTAATGACGTCGTTAAATGGTCATGGCATCAGTATTACGATTTTACGATTGGTATCAGACGATTGGTTACAATATTTGGGTATAGAATGCTAAACTTTTAAAGAATAGATTGGATTCCGAAAAAAAGTTGTTTGGATGAATGCAGAAATAGAACGTAGCAAGATTACGCAAGATTGTAGTTTTGATTGCCATTTTGTTTTTCTTTGTTATTTCTTCGGACGTGATTTACGGTTTTACGATTAATGTCACACGACTAATAGAAAATGATAATTTAAGATGCGGTAACAGAAGCACCCGCATGGAAAATGACACATTTGCCTCCCAAGCTTTCATCCAGTGCAAACAAGATCACATCAGCGGGAAGTAAACTGGGAATTGGTAAACATGTTGGAGCGACACTTTCGAAAGGTTTAATTTTATTAGTTATTAATTCTAGATAATTTTCTTTACGAACTGTGAATTTCATATGGGCTGAATATGTTTGGAATGATATTTTGAATATTTTAATAATGTAATGTTACATTGTCACCCAAATATTTCAACCTTAAAATAAAATCCAGAAATTTATCGCAGTCATAAAAACAATGTCACAAGCACTGAATCTTTTGATGTCCATAGGTATAAGACGCCTATTTCTCGTTTTCCTATTCTACCGTTTATTGATTTTCTTTGTCTATCAATTTTATGTAATATACTTCTGCTTATGCCGAGAAACAAAAAGTGATTTTTTGTACAGATTATTTGCAAGCTGATTCTCAACTCTAACGGAATCTTGTGACGAACAGTTGGGGCTTTACAAGTATCAGCTTGAAATAGTTGTAATTAAATACAAAGTAGAGGTTCGTAATATTCCAGAAGATACAAAACGTCTAAAAACAGCTATAAAGAAAGCCTGTATTGCAATTCATGATTCTGTGGACGTATTGAATGGTTTAGATGGTAGTGCAGGAGATGGTGATTGTGGAAGTACTCTTAAAATTGGTGCTGATAGTAAGTAGTTTCAGTTATCCAAAGTGGAAATCTCATTTCATTTATTATGCTTAGAAGAAGAAATGACGAACTGCCACATAGTAATAGTAAATTAGCAATCTGTTTTTTACCATTGCAGCTATTATTACCCGTACTTTTGTAGTTATGTAATTTTAATACGTAAGTTATTTTAATATCCAAGTCATTTTTTGCAATAATTTTGCAGAAATTCTGGAATGCTTAAATGAAGGAAAGCTTAGATGTGACACGCCACAATCGTTATTTAGCGAAATTTCACAAATATTTGAAGATGATGTTGGTGGTACAGCTGGAGCTGTAAGTTTTCACTTCTTTCGATTTCTTCAAGATTTTTACGCTTCAGTTTTGGTATTATAGCTCAAATAATTCGATCTTAATCGTCGACTTTCCTATGAAACAATAAAAAACATGAGTTACAAGACAGTTCATTGATATATGTCACATAGTTCCTTCTGAGAAAAGCCATTTCATCATCATTCCATCATCCGTACGGTTGTTCCTGTGTTCACTACACCAAATGAACAATAATACCCGAAATGTTTGCAGCGAAAAAAAAATTATGGCATTTTTGAAAATGAAGAAGGCATCAGTGTTTTTGCTTCCATTAATGATGACTTATTACTATTATTTTTCTTCTTGCTTTGCAGTTGTATGCATTGATGTTCAACTCAGCAGCTCAGGCATTCATCAAATCGGCAACTGCAAAAGAGTGGCATATAGCGTTGGAAAGTGGTCTAGAGGCTATTATGAAATATGGGCAAGCTAAACCAGGTTCTAGATCCATGGTTTGTTTTCTTCATTAGCACTCATCTTAGCTATGAAAAATATGAAATTTAATTTAAATGATATGAAACATTTAACGTTTAGGATGGATAGAATATTAATGACACATGTTTTTATCAGTTGTATTACCAACTTACCAACTTATCAATAAGATTCGATTTTCATGTGTGCAAAAACTTGCTTTGTAGCTGCATGTTTTATGTTGATGTTAGAAGTGAACTGGAAATTTTGAAAATTAGAGGAGGCTTTTTCTCCTGCCTCCATCCGAAATCATACTATGTAACCCAGCTTTTCTAGCATGTTTGATTCTACCGTAACTCATTTGTTGTTGGCAAGGCGTTCATTTTTGAAAGCGTTTCGCAATAGTTGCTCAAGAAATGTGATAACGTTTTTTCTTTTTTTTGAGCTTAGAGATGACTTTACTTTAAAATCCGACAGTAGAGTTCTATACAAAGTAAAGAATCTCTTATTAAGAAATGGGAAGGATCAGATACGTCTTTTGATCCTTGGCAAAATGTGTAACCACTGAAAACTGGTCATACATTAGTTTTTAATTGGATTTATATTTTTTAGATAATCCGGAATTATACATTCAAGTGTCTTTTTTAATGTGACTGACAACTAATAATTATAGGTAGATCCTCTATATGCCGCACTAAAAGCAATATCATGTGACAGTCCAGAAAAGGCACACTGGGAAAATGCTGTAAAGGTAATTTTCGGTTTTATTCTTCCTTTTTTACTTTCGATTCTTCAGTATTTTTTTACTTTCGTTTCGATTCTTCAGTATTTTTTTTGGCACAACGTTATTTTTCTTCTTAACTTTATCACTAAGATTATTCAAGCTCATAGATTTCGTTGAGAAACTACCGATTATATTCTCTACTGACCTGCATTACCCTCTTCCCTCACATTTGTTGTTTTTAATCATTTTCTTAACTTATCACCACAGAAATTATGCTTATAAATAAGCACTTGTCAATGATAATTTTGCTATCAATTTTAACTAATCACAAAAAAGTTGTGGATCAAGCTGACTTTGTGCTGCACTTCACTCCAACTAATTTTATTCTTTCTTTTTTGCATGAATTATTTATAGCAAGCTGAAGAAAGTGCAAAAGCAACCAGTGGTATGGTTGCACAAGTTGGACGTGCCAGTTACACTTCTGCGTTGGTACAAAAAGAACCAGATGCCGGTGCAGTTGCTGTTTCTATATGGTTGCGAGCAGTTTATGAAGCTGTTTATTCGTAATTCAAATTTGAAATTGATAATTCTATTGGAATTTCGTGGCACAGGTTGCTTGTAATAACTGTCGTATCCAGTAAGTGTTGTTTCTCATTGCTGTATGGTTCTTATTGAGTCCTGAAAATCAGATTCAGGTATATATTCAAGATATACTCATATATATATATATGTATATAAACTACAGTTCTACGTTTCTTATCTATTTGCTGTAATCGGAAAGTCGATTTCATGCTAATATCATGCACATTTTTTGCTTCGAAAAAATTGGAATCGGGTGATCTTTTTAATCAAGTTGGTTTTTTTTTTAAATTTTGGTGAGTCTCGTAAACTTTTCAATCAAACTATATGAATTTCATTATACACTTTATTTATTAATACTAGTCCATAGGCTGACTTTTGCACTTGAATGGGATGATCGTTTAATCAGGAAATGAAATTTCATGGATTTTAACAAAACTTTTAAATTAATTTTCCGATTTATATATTCCTATCTTCAAAGGCATGAATTAATGTAACATATGCTTAAAACTGTATTACGAACACATAGCGGCTTCTAGCTAAGATGTGACTGGTGGCGTCAAACATGAATTTTGTAATTTTAGGTGATCAGAATTAGGCAGACTTTTCTACCTGCAATAAGTTCATATTAGGATGATTGTGCTATGACTGATTGTCGTTGTTACTGTTGTTGACCTCGATGTAATCAATATATACCTGGATCCATCATTTGTTCCTTTTTTTTCCGCTCACTTTTTCCCAACTTTAATTTGCAAATGTTGGTCTTTCAAAAAAAAAACGGTTGTAAATATCTCCCACTCTTTTTTTCCCGTGATTAAGATGAAATGAGAAAAGCGGGCAAAAAACTTTTATTATTAAAAAAACTCTTTCGTTATAATGGTTAATAAATATAAGCAGTAAAAAGAAGATGCTTGGATAATACTTATGCAAACGTTTTCTTTTTTTTGCCCTAAAAACTAACCGAATTTATAGTTAGAAATTGTGAGAATGAAGATGCTTGAGAAGATGAACAATATTGAAATAGAATTTAACAAATGTTCTTGTCTGATATACAAAAATCTAAGAGAAATTAACGGGATGAAAAATGGAAATGAAATTTCGTTCATATTCGCATCTCTCTAAATACATCTGATAAAAAAAAAATGTTGGATAAATAATAAGAATATATGTTCTTTTGTTCATTTTTTTTTTTTTTGGAAAAAAAAGTGATAAACATACTATATAATTTGATTAAATTAATTCAATTCAAATTTCAATTCAACTCAATTTCAGTATTATTTAAATGTATAATTTAAGTGAAATGGATTTGTTTTCATCCAATTTTAGCATATTCTTTTTTAAAAAATTTTACAATTTCCTGATTCATTGCTATAAAATATATATTATATATATATATATATATATATATATA